CATTCAGATTGACATATGCCCTGATAAGGAACTGATAATTTAGTATTGGAATTTGCATTGCTTCAGTTTGAATTTACCTGTCATGCAATGGGAAACAAAGGCCTATGACCTACTATGTCAATATAGCAATTTCAGTCATTGCATATTTCTGATGGATAAAGATAGCCTACCAAATGAATGCTTGAATTCCTTTCTTGTCTAGTGGTTCATTTATTTGTACAATACATATGCATCACTGAACACTAGGTGATGTATACGTCTCCACATTATTGCTCTGTTCCCAGAAATAAAATGAGCAATGAGGTTTCCTGGAAATTATTAAATGTAACATTAAATTCGAGAGCAGACAGACAGCCACAGAGAAAATTAATTTTCCAAGGTATAATTGTGATATTAAATATACATGTATGCATGGGAGGACAGGGAACACCCCTTTTCAGCTGGAGAAAACACAGACTAACTAAACTGGGACAAAGCCACAGCAGCACAGTTATGTGTGGTGAACTATATGTATCAGATGCAATTCCATTTCAAGAGTCTCAAATGGTTGGGGTCTCTTCTGGTGGTGAGATTTATTTAACATTTTTATGAATTGCATTAATTTCCCCCATACTTTCCTATTGTATTAAATCATCAGGGATAGGCTATAGTAAGTAGCTTGGAGGGGTAAAACAAACTGCCTCCAAAATAAATTGCATACTGTCACGGATCCCCCCGGTACTGCCGCTCATTCCGTTCACCAGCTCTGGAGGTCTACGTCATCGGCCTTCTAGGCGTCACTGACCTGGATCATTACCACCAACCCCGGAATGTCTTGTCTCATTACGCACACCTGGTTCCCATTCCCCCTGATTAGTACGCACACCTGGTTCCCCGTTGTCGATTATTGTCCCCATGTACGTTGGTCGCGTGAGTACCTGTGCGCTGTTGTATCGGCTTTCGGGCTACTGTACTTTGTATTACATACAGTGTAATTGTGCACTTGTTATTACGGGTCTCGTCCTGTGTATTATTTAGAGGTTTACACCTCGCTCTTTTGCTTGGGTTACATCCCGGTGTATGTGTTTGTTTTGGGCTTTGTCCCCGTCGTTTTTCATGACTTACCTTATGTTAGGTAGAGGGAAGAAAAAAAAAATAACGTACGTATTCCTGCACCTGTCTATCATTATGCAACGTGACACATACTGCGTATCTGCAAATGTGATTTCACTTATCACTGCATTCAAACAAATATCATATACTGAGAATATATGAAGACCTTTGATAGAATTAGGCTACTGTGTCCCTAATCTTTTCCTGATTCCTATTAATGCAATTCGTTTTATGTACTGTCTGAACAAGCAGTAATTGCTGTAAAAGAATAGCCACTGCTTTGACTTAAATTAAATGTGATTTCAAACCATCTGGCACTCTTCTTACTGCGTAGAGTAGGCCTATGTCAGGCTTTCATCCAAACTAAACAGGTTAAGAGTATAATTAGATCAGCGAGGAAATTAATCTTCAAAATCTAACTTAAGCAAATAAAATGGCAAGCTCAGACTGCTCAATACACAGCAAAATCAGGGTAGCCTAATATTCATTAAGGAAAGGCTCAATTATCACCTGGGCAAGGTACCTGGCTGAAAAACGGATGCACATGTGAAACCCACAAGGCAAGTCTACTTATGTACTTACTTACATGTGAAACCCAAGGTACTCATGAATGACTTCCTAATACTCCATAGCCAGAAAATGTCATTATCCAAATTAGCCTAATCTGATATGTTGAAGGCGATAAAGCTACCAAGTATCTGACTGAATTTTAACAGTAGCCCTTTGTACTGTTGCTCACTGCAAAACCCATGAATGACTCATTTACATACCACTTTTCCACACATTATCTTTTTCCCTATCTTAATGTCTCCCACTGCTGAGGCCATTAGTGAATGATTCAGAGCAGAACTTTGTGCTCGGGGCATTTACATGTTCACTGTGACTTAATTATTCAATTTATAAAACGGCTAAGAAATAAATCAATTCAACGAGATGGGGAGAATGCATTTAGGATACTTTTTTCTTCTCAAATTAAAGTGATGGTGATGGAATCCACGGGAGAGATTTAAATGTCAATTTCACCCCCTCGATTGACAAATAGATTTCTTTCCAATAAGGAAGAAACATGATTCCAGAATTATCCCTGCTTGTCCCCTTAAACAGCCCAGGGTCTATTAATAGAAGTTTCCTAGAGATGACCTTGTGACAAGGAGGTGTCTGAGCTCACTCCTCGCCAGAGCTGTCTGTCTCCCACAGCTGGGCATTTTGGGTAGAGAAAAGCTGTCTTTTAGAATGTGTCACGCTTTATAAACCCTTCTAATCAGTTAGGTTCATCCTAAATCATTGCTATTATGGGTTTTTATTGGTTGGACGTGTTGTAGTAGCTACAAGAACAGGAAATTTGGCATCCACTATTCAAGAAGTGAATGACTTGACTATATACTGAACCAAAATATAAATGGAACATGCAACAATTTCAACAATTTTACTGAGTTACAGTTCATATAAGGAAATCAGTCAATTGAAAAATTCATTAGGCCCTAATTTATGGATTTCACATGACTGGGCATGGGCACAGCCATGGGTGAGCCTGGGAGGGCATAGGCCCACACACTTGGGAGCCAGGCCCAGCCAATCAGAATGAGTTTTTCCCCACTAAAGGGCTTTATTACAGACAGAAATACTCCTCAGTTTTATCGGATGGCTGGTCTCAGACGATCCCGCAGGTGAAGAAGCCGGATGTGGAGGTCCTGGGCTGGCGTTGTTACACGTGGTCTGCAATTGTGAGGCCGGTTGGACGTACTGCCAAATTCTTTAAAACACCGTTGGAGACGGCTTATGGTAGAGAAATGAACATTCAATTATCTGGCAACAGCTCTGATTCCTGCAGCCATCTGTGGCATTGTGTTGTGTGACACAACTGCACATTTTAGTGGCTTTTTATTGTCCCCAGCACAAGTGGAAACCTGTGTAATGATACTGTTTAATCACCTTCTTGATATGCCACACCTGTCAGGTGGATAGATTATCTTGGCAAAGGAGAAATGCTCACTAACAGGGATGTAAACAAATTTGTGCACAACATTTTAGAGAAATACGTTTTTTTTTTTGAATGGAACATTTCTGGGATCTTTTATTTCAGCTCATGAAACATGGGACCAGCACTTTACATGTTACGTTTATATTTTTGTTCAGTATAGGACTACATACTGACACAGAACAGGTTGAGCCATCCAGCAAAGAGGGAGCAGAATTTTATTTACTGCCTTTGTTGGAGTGAAATTGAGTGGAATGTGTGGAATATTTCCACCCCTGGATACTGTTGCCTTCAATGTGTTACAATGTTAATTCAACAACAATGAGGTCATTGTTTTTAGAACAAACAGAATCAAAGCAACAAATGTTCCAATTTTCTGAGTCATAGATGGGGGGGTGTTTCCCATATAAAAGAAACGGGAAAGTCAGTGAGATTGTAAACCGATGATGAGCGGGTAAGAAAAATGGCATCCCCTTGAGAGGGCAAAAACAAGATGTCAGGAGAAGTGCAGTATTATACTAAGGAGACGTATACTTGGAATACAGAGGCAGAATGGAGGGAAAAAGAGAGCGGGAGGAAGAGGGTGAGCTTGAATTGGTTAAAAATTGTGGGATAAAGGGAGATGGTTTGTTAAAGAAGAATGGTAGAAAGTGTAAGCAGAGTGAGCTGTACACCAGATCGAAGACGGGAGGAGAAATGGAAGTGAATGAGGGAGAAGTATCAGAGAGGATAGGTGTAGTGAAGTTCTTGGAGCCTGAGGCTTGCACCAAGGGTCAGGATAAAGATGAGACGTGACGGTATGAGTGACATTTTTTGAAAAAGTGGACCCTTGCCTTTTGGCTGATCCATTTGTGGTTTCAGGGTGGGTGAAAACAGAGTTGGGTGCTGTGGAATCGGTGAAGGTTGTTGATAATTGTTTGTGTTTCTGCTGGTCATGACCTCCGCATTAAACGAATAGGGACAAGAGATGTGAATTGTTTTGCTCTCAAGAAAAGGGCGCCATTGAAAGGAGTGATTACCAGGGTAGCGGTAAATGTGAAAGTTGACCAACTGAAGGGAAAGATTCCAGGTGCTTGTGATGCTTGTCGTTTGTGTGCTGCAGACAGGGTGGCGTGAGTGGAGAAACAGAGTCGTCTGTTCTTTTGAGTTTTGATGTTGAGTCTTGCCTGACAAAGTTATCCCTTACGAGCTTTTGCGTCGAATACATTACGTTGTTACAGGTGTTAAGCTTATGGGCATGTGGCAGCAGTGTGTAGGAGGGAGGTTCATAGATGTGTGAAGAAGGGCATGTGACAAAGGAATGTGTAGTATTGGAGAAAGTAGTGGTATGTGTTAATTGTAGGGGTACCCATGGGGCTGGGGATCAGAAAGGTTCAAAGGAGAGAGGCTGGTTGAGGTTTCCAGGGTTAGAGTAGTGCAGAAGTTGTCGAATGCTGAGGCAGTGAAGAAAGTAGAGGAAGATGGGTCAAGGGGGAGGGATCCTGAGAGGAGTGGTGTGAGTAGTAGATCTGTACCAGTACAAAGGGATAAGCCAACAAGTGATATATGCTTCAGTAAGATTAGATTTTTAGCACTTATAGCAATAGTTATCAACTTTACTGCAGAGATGGAATATAAGTCACAGAAAATTGAGGTTGTGGTGGCAGCTGCAGATAGGTATTTGGGTGTACGAGACCTGACGTCAGAAGAGTTACAGGGTGTGTTGAGTGGTGGTGTCCCGTCCTTTCAGGCTGTTGGCCTGAGGTAGGACTAGATAGATGTAAATAGTGGAGTAGGGTGGTGGGTTTTTTGTGAGTGTAGGTTTAGATGGTAGGGTATTTGTTGATTATTTGTTTGTTTTCAAGCAAGGTATAAGCGAGTTATACTCCAGTCTAGTAGGTGGCGGTAATGCATCATTTATTGGATGCCAACCGCCGTTAAACCTCAAAGATGAAGAAGAAGAGCTGGTAAACAGACGAGAAGCATCCATCTTTCTTCACAGAGAAGTCGTATTTCAGCAAAACATCATGGGGGCCGTTCTTGGACTGTGCTCCATGGCAAGTTGGGTAAGTCTTTAATTAATTAAAATAAAATTCGACATCATATCCAGTTATTTAAAAAAAAGGGCCGAATCAACTATTTCTTCCGAGATACCTTCGCTAGCTCAGCTGCTACAGCCTCAATGCGCAACAAGAAAGCCAGGGTGGTTCCTCCCTGTTCAGCTGTCAGGACCTGGCGAATTGCCTTTTAATGAAATAAATTGTCCCTGGATGATCTTTCCAAAACATGAACACAATGTATTAACAAATTATTGTAAAATTATCATTTTATTTGGCAAACAACCGTCATACCAATGTGGGTTTTGATAGTTCGACCCCGGGTTTGTTTTATGCAAATTAGCGATTGCTCTCTACGGTCTACGTTTTACATTTTCGATACACAGCAATGTAGCACTACGTGAAAGCTAACTAGATAGCCACTTTGTCATTGATAGCTAAACTAGCTAACTAACGTTAGCTATCGGTACTTGGAAATATTTCAACACCGTCGCGGTCAAAGCAGAATCAAATGTCAGATAACAGCTACAGTAGCTAGCTATGACGTCTCCACTTAACGTTAGCCTAGTAGTGAATTGCGAAATGTGGGTCATGAAAATACACTAAGTTCAGTTAGACAATAACAGGCATATGTCTGGTATTTTTCCTATTTAGTTTAACTAATACTATTCCTGAAACCGTTCTAAGCTAAAAGTGGGGCGTTAGCTGTTTGGTCATTCTCTTCCACATCCACTTGATTAGGTTTGACAACAGACATGGTCAGATCTCTATTCCTGGCATGGATTTGGTTTCCATAGTAGTTAGCAACTTATCAAAAACAACATTGTTGGTGTTATGTCAACCCTAGGTGGATTGATTAACTTTTATCAATGAATGAATACCTTATTGACTTGGTACCGTTATTCTATTTGTTAAACCATTCAGCGGTAGCTACACAGATACATAATTCTGTCACCATCAGTTCAATGCTTGTATTATTAGCTAATTAGTTAATCATTTTGTCTTCCCTGTAGATCCCCTGCCTGTGTGGCACAGCCCCCTGCCTGCTGTGCAGATGCTGCCCCAGCGGGAATAACTCCACCGTCACCCGACTTACCTATGCCTTCTTCCTCCTCCTGGGTGTGGGCATCGCATGCATCATGCTAATGCCTGGGATGGAAGAGCAACTCAAGAAGGTACCAAACTTTGTGGTTATGTGTTTGATATACAACATTTACACTGACTGTATAAAACATTAGGAACACATTTTACATGTTTTTTTTACATTTGTCATTTTAGCAGATGCTCTTATCCAGAGTTAGTGAGTGCATACATTGTTTTCCCCCATTTATTTTTTTTATACACCTTCCTAATATTGAGTTGCACCCCTCCCCCTTTGCCCTCAGAACAGCCTCAATTCGTCGGGGCTTGGAATCTACAAGGTGTTGAAAGCGTTCCACAGGGATGCTGGCCCATGTTGACTCCAATGCTTCCCACAGTTGTCAAGTTGGCTGGATGTCCTTTGGGTGGTGGACCATTCTTGATACACATGGGAAACTGTTGAGTGTGAAAAACTCAGCAGCGTTGCAGTTCTTGACACACTCAAACCGATGCTGCTGGCACCTACCATACCCAGTTCAAAGGCACTTAAATCTTGTTGCCCATTCACTCTGAATGGCACACATACACACAATCCATGTCTCAAGACTTAAAAATCCTTATTTTACCTGTCTCCTCCCCATCATGTACACTGATTGAAGTGGATTTAACAAGTGACATCAAGAAGGGATCATAGCTTTCACCTGGTCAGTGTGTCATGGGAAGAGCAGGTGTTCCTAATGTTTTGTGCGCTCAGTGACATCTAATTCTATACATTTTTTATTCGCCTGACTAATTACCTGTGCATCTTGGCTCTTGCAGATTCCAGGATTCTGTGATGGGGGAATGGGTACATCAATCCCAGGTGTGGAGGGTCACGTGAACTGTGATGTCTTGGTCGGCTACAAGGCTGTGTACCGCGTCTGCTTCGGCATGGCCATGTTCTTCCTGCTCTTCTCCCTCCTCATGGTCAAGGTCAAGAGTAGCCAGGATCCTAGAGCTGCAGTACACAACGGGTAAAAATGGCACAGCGAGTCTTATTATTATTATTATTATTATTATTATTATTATTATAATCATAATAATGGGTAATGACGAAATCAATAAGCTTATAATACTGCAAGGGTATGTGTTTATAAAGAAGTTAAAACAAAGGTCAGACAGTTAAAATACTTTCTTTTTAGGTTTTGGTTCTTCAAGTTTGCTGCTGCGACTGCCATTACCATCGGTGCATTCTTCATTCCAGAGGGTGCCTTCACAACTGGTAACACCCCTTTTCATTAAAATATATTTGTCGCATGGAAATATTAGCGTAGCCTGCAGCTCTTTGAATGTAGTTCACACTTCGCCCTTCTCTCCCTTAGTTTGGTTCTACATAGGAATGGCTGGAGCTTTTTGTTTCATCCTGATCCAGTTGGTCCTGCTGATTGACTTTGCCCACTCCTGGAATGAGTCCTGGGTGGAGAAGATGGAAGAGGGCAACTCTCGCTGCTGGTATGCAGGTATGCGAATCAACATGAGCTTCTCTTTGAGAATACCTTGTGGAAATGGTGACAGGTTGAGTTAAAGCAGTCCTCTGCGTCTACTCTTCTCTAACCTCCGCTGTCCCCATTCTCCAGAAATAACCAGTAAGTGTCATTCCTCCCCTGCAGCTCTGCTGTCTGCTACAACCATCAACTACATCCTGTCCGTGGTGTCCCTGGTCATGTTCTATGTCTACTACACCCACACCGACGGCTGCACTGAGAACAAGGCCTTCATCAGTGTCAACATGCTGCTGTGTGTGGGAGCCTCAGTCATGTCCATCCTGCCACAGATTCAGGTAAGGAAGTGCATTGGACCAGCATGTCACCTCACACTCCACTTTGTAGCCCTTCATCTCTGGACCTTCATGTTATATAATATGTTCTAAGACATTTACATCTTTGTGTTCTCTCACCCCTTTTCTCAACAGGAGTCCCAGCCAAGGTCCGGGTTGCTGCAGTCTTCCATTGTGACTCTGTACACAATGTATCTCACCTGGTCTGCCATGACCAACGAGCCAGGTGAGGATTTGAATGATCCAATGTCTCCCTTTTCAATACACCAATCAGTGGCTAGCTCTTCATCAAGACAACATGAGTGAATGTGTTGGTCTTTGCCATCTACAGACAGGAAATGCAACCCAAGCTTGCTGGGTATCATTGGCCTCAACAGCACCACCCCAGCTGGCAAGGACCATCCGGTTGTTCAGTGGTGGGATGCCCAGGGCATTGTGGGGCTGGTCCTGTTCCTGATGTGTGTTCTATACTCAAGGTAAGGAAACAGGTCAAACTCCAACTGTCTGCAGTGTTCTATAATAAGGAACTGCTAATGTTATTTTACCATTTACCAGCTTTGTGCAGTTGCCATTGACCCTGACAATAACATGTTATCAATTCACTCCTCTAGCATCCGCAACTCATCCAACACCCAAGTGAACAAACTGACTCTGACCAGTGACGAGTCTGCCCTGATCGAGGATGGCCCCCACCCTGAGAACTTTGACGCGGAAGACGGCGAGAACCGGGCAGTGGACAACGAGAAGGACGGGGTCACCTACAGCTATTCCTTCTTCCACTTCATGCTCTTCCTGGCTTCCCTCTACATCATGATGACCCTCACCAACTGGTACAGGTGTGTATCTCTTACTCTCCCTGGTTGATCTGGTCTGATACCATGATAATTAGGCAATTGCCATAATGAGTCTGCAGCCTAAGTATTGGATATTGTGAACATATACACAGGTCACTCATTTTAAGAGGTCTCTTGTTTTTGATTTCCCCAGCCCTGACTCCAGCTATGAGACAATGACCAGCAAGTGGCCCTCTGTGTGGGTGAAGATCTCCTCCAGCTGGATCTGCATTGCCCTTTATGTGTGGACCCTGGCGGCCCCACTGGTCCTGGTCAACCGAGACTTCGACTGAGGATCTAAAGAATTTGTGTGTGAGGGGGGGGGGGCGCAATCATTTGCTCATGATCGTGAATTGTGTAAGGTGAACGAGCTCTGTATGTGCATTCTCCGTGGATAACCCACCCACCCTTTTTGGTTTTAACCAACTGCATGCATGCAATAGTATTGAGTACATAGGTGTTATCCACTGTGTTTTATCCACTGTTTTATCCTATTGCAAAATTAAAGAATGAGGATTACTTTTGCAGAGTTGGGATTGTAAAGGTTGCTGGGGCTTGGGGAGACGTCAGTTAAAGGGAGAAGGACTCTTCCTCTCAACTGTAAATGGTTCTGGATAAGAGACATTCAGAAATAAGTTAATTTGTTACAAAATGGAAAAGACTGCTTTATGTTTGATATGCTACCCTTTCCTTCACTGTAAGTTATGCATATGTAATGGTGAAGTGCAGGGTTTCAGATATTAGCTAACATTGTTATCCTAGGTTCATTTCCATCAGTGACAATTAGTTACATGTGATGCACCATTTGCATGATATTATAGGCTAATCTACCATCATGTAAATCTTAATGTTGCTGTGCTTGCCTTTTCAGAACATCCTCCCAGATTGCTAAACTGCAGCTTTCCATTTTGGGCAACTTGCAATAGGTCAAATAAGTCCCTCAGTTTTATGTACCTTGTGTTACTTATGATTTGCACTAGTTATCTTCTAAAGGTAAACTACTGATGTTCAAACAGTGGATAAGTTATTTTGTAGGTGCTTTAGCATAATTGAAATGTGTATTCAGTGTTTCTACCAGACTGACAAGGTACATTGCAGAAAATGTCAACTCCCATTCCTCTAGAATAGTTTTAGCCTTTCGACATGTATTAAAGTACATTGTAACCCAAGGCAACCATGTCCCTATTCATTATACCGTCACCTACATAAAGCATTCAGAATGACAAGACGCTTTTGTTGTTCTTTTAATGTCATTGTGCAGCTTAACAGTGAATCTCACAGGATAGGCAAAATCACAGAAGTCTTAACATGACACCTTATGATACACACCAGACTACAGTATTTGAAGTTCTGAGCACTGTGGTTCTAAGACAAGGAAATATGCAGGCACTTATGTTTTTTTTCATTAAAAGGTTGTGATCGTTGAAACATTTGACCTATCGATACAGAAATCAATAATACATAGTGAAACAAACAACAAAATGGCAGCCTCTATCAGGGTTTACCTACAACTGCTAGTGGAAATAGTGGAGAAACCATATCAACAGCTAAATTATGGAATGTCTTTTGACCTGTGGACATAAATGTACCAAAAGATACAAGGAAATAAATACCGTAAATCATTTGAGTCTTTTTTCTGCTCCTTGGTTAACCTTGTTAAATCTCCAGCTGTGTCGAGTCAGTGGTGCCCCCCTCTGGATTGAGTTCACACAGGTAGAAAAGCGTGGCCTCTGCCTCAGTCAGGGGCTCCAGGCGGATCAGGGAGCTCCGTCTAGGCTCCTCATCTGGCTCCAGGAGGTCTGTGGGTACCTCAGTGCTGGGCTGCAGCAGGCTGTCTCCCAGCTCTGTGGCTGTGCTGCTGTCTGGCTCTGGGGCCAAAGGGGTGCAGCCATCGAGGAAGGCCAGCAGAGGGCAGGACGTGTACTGGACCAGCTGCTTATCTGCAGAGATGCCAGACTTGCCTCCTTTGGATAGTAGCCCTGCATTTCCTTTGGAACCACCACTCTCCTGAAGATTACATAATTGAGTGAAATGAATTCAGTAACACAAATAAAAAGGACAATTCAGACAGGAAGACTTGATGTTGAGTAAAGAGGGGGAACCAGGTAAACAGATATGAGTAGCCTCACTGTAGATTTGTGTACTGCCTGTTTGACAGGACTCACTTAAACTGTGCAGATGCTGAAATCATGCAATTTGAACTGAAAGACTGAAGAGAAACATAGAACTGAATAAAAACAACACTTTCTATGAAATGTCATTAACATAAACCTCTGGGGCCTATCAACTTCCCGGTTACATTTAAAAATGAAAAGCATACCTCTAAAATATCTGGATCAATGCTGAACTGCTTCCCGTACAACATAGCCTGAAAGTCTTCCAAACTGCAGTCAATGCTGTCCAAGTAGTCCATCAGCTCAACCCTGTTAAAACATGGATGCTTCTTATTAACTGCAAGCTGAAACAATAATTCAATAGGCCTATATATCTTCAGTAATGCAAAAATGCTACCCAGTAATATGGGACATATTGTGAGAGAGCCTTTTCGAGTTCTTCAGGAACTACGGACCACGAAGGTAAAGCAAGTCAAGTCTACTTACTTGCCGAGGAGGTTGATATTCTGAGAAATAGCTCCACTCTCATTGAGGATTGAGTCCATCATCTTCATGGGATCCTCCAGGCTCAAGCCTGATGGTTTGTTGAGCTGCAAGACGCTGCTGGTTGGAAGGCTATCATATGTGCTTATGGTGGTCTCTTCTGGTTCGAATACCAAAGAGTTGGTCTGTCCTGTATTGTCAGAGCCGTCTGTCTGTGACACAGTATTGCTGTCGAAGACCTCAACTATTTCTACATCCCTAAGAATAAAGGAGAGGAGAACAGGCATGAGGATAGATGATGGCACAGATGGAAATATACATGAAACAAAAATGTAGATGTTGACTTACGATTGATCCAATATTGAGGGGCCCTCTGTGATCTCTGTATCGTCGTCAGTTATGTCACAGATGACAACATCATCAATAAGATCAGCGTTCTTCAAACCACTGACAGAGGGCTGGGAGAGGAGTCAGAATATACATCTTTAGAATAGTTTCCATTGAAAAAACAGACTCTTGAAATAACATTATAAACTCATATTATGGAAAATTCCCCCCATGACAATGTCAAGTTTCATTGACTCTCACAATTTAAGCCATTTTTCTGGGCAATGATCCTGCCTCAATCTTGTCCAGAAAAATATCTATCTAGTGTATTTGCTAGTATCATTAGTGTGATGTCTGAATGGATGGACACCCCCATGTACACCTTACATAAGGAGGTAAATCCCTTCAGACCTCTACACATACTTTGTTGTGCTCCAGAGGAGGTTCATCGTAGATTTCATGGATGTATTTAGGCTTCTTTCCATTGTTGTTCAGTAGAATAGGCCTGCAAAATGGAGATTGAGAAGTAAAATGTATTAATAATGTTTCGTAATCGAAATTGTCATTCGGTGGAAGAATTGCTATACTATGAAGGCTTACCGTTTGCGTTTTAAACCCATAATCCGGTTCTTTTGTACGAATGTGACAATGAATTGTATCAACTGCAATGAATAAAGACCACAACAAGCAAAGTTAGATTAAACTTTTATAGCCTAAAGGCCAATTATGCATTCAATGGTTAAGCTGTTTTATTGTGAGAAAATTGTTTCCAATTCCATTTCCACTGAATATGTGAAGTAATTCTGGATGAAGAATGTTTTACTGCACCTTCTTAATGATTTGCTGCTGTTGGGAGTGCTTCTGTCTCAGGTCTGATATTTCCCTCCATAGACCTTCATTATCTCTGTAAACAGAAATTCAAGCATCAGCATAGTACCATCTCCAAACCAACACATCACTACTACTTTCTTACCACCATTTAATTGCCAAGGCATGGTAGTTTGCGTACCTTTTCAGTGTGTTGAGTCGGGAATCAATGCTTTCTTGTTTTCCGTGAACATTCTGAACACTGGCCAAAATATTGGACAGGTCTTCTTGTTTGATCTTAGTATCCTCTGGTCTTGCATTGGAAACCTGAAAAAAATGTGCCCATTAAACCTCTACCTTATTCAGTTTGACTACTTACTGATATAGGTCATTTATGTGTTTCCCATTATATATTTGTTTCCCATGATGGTCTTACTTTTCTTTTGATGTTTTCCAGCAAGTCATCCTGCCCATGTTTAAAATAAGGATGCTGGAATTCAATTGGTCCATCACGCTCTTGCTTCACTATGCCTGTGTCGATGTGCATCACTTTGCGAAATCCATCTGCAGAGAGACCACCCATTAGACAGCTGCACAGGGGGCATTCCAATATAACAGCTGAGCAGCTATGTTTATAGAATAGCTGACTTACACATATTCAGCTGTCTGACAAAGCTGGCCATGTTGTTGTGTTTGAAGAACTTGGGAAGAATCTCCTTGGCAAATCGCTGTTCGTTCATGACGAGGAAACTGTTACCCTCCTAGAAAACGAAACATTATTATAGTTAGGAGACTACAATATCAACAACGTTACTTAAACTAAAGGAAATGTATTTGTGTTACATTTCAGGAACTAAACAGTGCATGGACTTCTTGCTTTATTTTCTGATTGAATGCTTATTGATGTGCTCTTATAAGGACACTAGCCAACTTGCAAACAGATCACTCAAATAACGTTAGCTATCTATAACGTTAACTTCTGGGGGGAGGGGATGGTTGTAGCGGAGAGGCTACTATGCTAGCTTTAGCCAGCAGGGACAACAATAGCAAATTAGTCTTTGACATCAGTAGCAAAACAAAATGATGCTTATTGAAGCCTACTACTGACACCTGCATCTAGGATTAAGCAGAAATATTATGACTCGGGTATATGAGGCCACAGATGATAAATAGCTAGATGGCTAGTTCGTTTCAAACCCTGCAGCGCTAGCGCTAACTCGCTAGCTAGCTCTGCCAGGCTGGTACGCTCAGCGGGGCAATTGACTTTACCTGACTCCAACAAATAAATTCATTTGTATCAGAATCCTCCACAAGAGTCCAAAGCTTGGTGAGGAAGGCTGGAACATTGGAGTTTTGTTTCATTTTGCAAACTGAAGGTGGAAAGATGCCTTTTTGGGATGAAAAAAGCAATTCGCTGAGAAGAAAATAACCTCGTAAACATGCATACAACTTCCTGTTTGAAGAGCAGAAGCTGATTGGTTGAACGTTGACTTACGTAATGTTTATCACGTGTAACGTAGAAGCATGGCTCAATTTGCAATTTGCAAATTGTTGCTGAAATTTGTTAGCATTTTTTTCTGTGAAATGCTTTAAAGCAACTGAAAATGTTTTCACACAGATATTGATATCTCTTGAGTCAGCTGGCATGGGAGGATGCTCATAGCTAGGTAACCCTACTTACCTAGATTTGTTTACATTCGATTGACGAGTCATTCTGTGTCTTGCCACTAGGTGTCAGCCTTAGATCATGTAAATTCCAACCTAAAGCGAATAATGGCACCATAGTCCTTAGCATAACCTTGTCACCCCTCAAGTTTACTCACTACAGGTACCATGTAACATTTTTAGGATAGTTTCCTACTTAAGATATTTCTCAGATTTCTGCTCCTATGTGTTTGTTTTCATCTTACAGTTTGCTTTCATTCAACTATTTACTGCATAATGGTCTAACACAAATACAAGTATAGCAATTATCAAAGTACTGAAGTGAAATGAAGATTACATTTCAATTGATCTGGATCATTCATTACATTTCTGGAATATCTGGAATATTTGCAATGTTCAGGACAAAATGTCCTGAAAAAATTGAGAGAAAAAAACTATTTACTTTTATAGTCATCTCAGTGGAAAAAGCCATAAAAGGATAGTTCAGGGGTTAAGTAAAACCATTTCCCTCCACAGGTTGAGAGGGCCACTGTTGACTACCTACCTGCTTTAGTGCAGCTAGAGTACAGCAGAAACAATGTGTGGGGTTGGTTGGCCAAAACTCCCTGCTCTGTGAAACAGATAAGCAAGGATGTCATTTATTCCCAATAGAGGGAGGACATTTCTCATTTGACATAAAAAGTACACTATTGTGATCTAGGTATCTTTTCGTTCGATTTTTTTTTTTCATTCTTCAGAGGGATTCATGCAAATGTGTAAGAATCCAATGCTTCACAAGAAGAACATTTAATGATATGGTACTGTATTAATCACACAAACCTGTACATACACATAATTTAAGAGTTTTTTTCCCTCTGTGGCTTAACAACATACACTAAGTAGGCTAACATACTACACAGAGAGGGGGACATTTTGCAGAAAGATCTATGTTGCCAACAGTGCATGCCTCTTTTAACATTCAGACATCATAACAAAATGAGGTTGACAAGTGCACAGCTAATTGGGACAGACGGTAATATTACATCAAAAGACGTCATGAAGTCCTTTCAAATGGCACTAATTAGAACATTCTTTGATTCTGAGACAGAGAGATTATAGGAAAGGCAAAAATCACAGCACATTAAAGTAAGGCAGGTGACATTCTGCCTTTCATTGTATAGTACAGGTAAGTAAGCTAAGTGCCATATTTACAATTGTCCTGGATAGATGTAAAATACTGCTTGAGCCTTGAACATTAATATATTTAAACAGGATGGTGCTGCTGTAATGTAAGTTGCTTCTTCTTATATTTGACAATAGCCATGCCACAGTTGAAAAACTTCCAAATGCTGGAGAGTAGGTGTAGCAACAGCAAATACAGTATGTATGGCTAAGTCTGAAGGGGATGTATGTCTCACTTGGTGGCAGCATTGTTAAAGGGCTAATTCGAAATATTAATTTGGTTTGACTTTGTGTTTGAATGTCGTGAAAGACTTTAACATACTGGCCAATCAGAAGTGACACCCTTCTTATCTGACCCTTCCTATCTGACTTGTAAGGTATTAATGCCATAGGAAAATATAGATTTGGCTGTGAACTGATCCATGTAGGATGCTTACAGTGTTCCAAAAGGAGTTGGCTACTGTATATGACTTGGTCTACATCTATATTTTTTACAGCGACTTTTATTCAGGCCTGCGTTTATATGAAGAGTTTCATTCCAAAACGCTATACAGTGCATTTGGAAAGTATTCAGACCCCTTGACCTTTCCCACATTTTGTTACGTTACAGCCTTATTCTAAAATAGATTGTTATTTCCCCCCTCATCAGTCTATACACAATACCCCATAATGTCAAAGCAAAAACAAGTTTTGTGAAAATTTTGCAAATGTATTACTAATATAACATTGAAATATCACATTTACATAAGTATTCAGACCCTTTACTCAGTACTTTGCTGAAGCACCTTTGGCAGCGATTACAGGCTCAAGTCTTCTTGGGTATGACGCTACAAGCTTGGCACACCTGTATTTGGGGAGTTTCTACCATTCTTCTCTGCAGATCCTCTCAAGCTCTGTCAGATTGGATGGGGAGCGTCGCTGCACAGCTATTTTCAGGTTTCTCCAGAGATGTTCCATCAGGTTCAAGTCCGGGCTCTGGCTGGGCCACTCAAGGACATTCAGAGACTTGTCCAGAAGCCACTCCTGCGTTGTCTTGGCTGTGTGCTTAGGGTCATTGTCCTGCTGGAAGGTGAACCTTCGCCCCCGTCTGAGGTCCTGAGCGCTCTGGAGCAGGTTTTCATCAAGGATCTCTCTGTACTTTGCTCCGTTCATCTTTCCCTCGATTGTGACTAGTCTCCCAGTCCCTGCCGCTGAAAAACATCCCAGCAGCATGATGCTGCCACCACCATGCTTCACTGTAGGGATGGTGCCAGGTTTCCTCCAGACGTGACGCTTGCATTCAGGCCAAAGAGTTCAATCTTGGTTGCATCAGACCAGAGCATCTTGTTTCTCATGGTCTGAGAGTCCTTTAGGTGCCTTTTGGCAAACTCCAAGTGGGCTGTCATGTGTCATTTACTGAGGAGTGGCTTTCGTCTGGCCACTCTACCATAAAGGCCTGATTGGTGGAGTGCTGCAGAGGTGGTTGTCCTTCTGGAAGTTTCTCCCATCTCCAGAGGAACTCTGGAGCACTGTCACCTCCCTTACCAAGGCCCTTCTCCCCCGATTGCTCAGTTTGGCCGGGCAGCCAGCTCTAGGAAGAGTCTTGGTGGTTCCAAACTTCTTCCATTTAAGAATGATGGAGGCCACTGTGTTCTTGGGGACCTTCAAAGCTGCAGACATTTTTTGGTACCCTTCCCCAGATCTTTGCTTCGACACAATCCTATCTCGGAGCTCTACGGACAATTCCTTCGACCTCATGGCTTTGTTTTTGCTTTGACATGCACTGTCAACTGTGGGACCTTATATAGACAGGTGTGTGCCTTTCCAAATCATGTCCAATCAATTGAATTTACCACAGGTGGACTCCAATCAAATTGTAGAAACATCTCAAGGATGATCAATGGAAACAGGATGCACCTGAGCTCAATTTCGAGTCTCATAGCAAAGTGTCTGAATACTTATGTAAATAAGGTATTTCATATATTGTATTTTTTTCTACATTTGCAAAAATTTCTATAAACGGGTTTTTGCTTTGTCATTATGGGGTATTGTGTGTAGATTGATGAGGATGTTATTTATTTAATCCATTTTAAAATAAGGCTGTAACGTAACAAAATGTGGAAAAAGTCAGGGGGTCTGAATACTTTCTGAATGCACTGTATATCCATTTTCAGAAATTTTGGTAATTTAGCTTTTATTGTTTAAAGAAATTATGAAAGAAATTGGTGAGTTTTTTCAAGATCTAATCATGGCATGGGGTTGTTCAATGACAGACATGTATTTGTTTAAAATCTATAACTTGATGGTTTCATTTCAGAGAGACAAATAATCATGTTTCTTTTGCAAAATGCTATATATCCTGCCTCATTTTCAGAGAAATAAGTAGTACTGCTAGGTTTTACACAGTCAAATGTAACAAATAACTACATTTTAAATAAAGACATTTACAAATGATACATTTGTGACATCAATACTCTTTAAATTAAAAAAATACAATAATTAAATTTGACATTTTAGTCATTTATTTTACATTTTACATTTTACATTTTAGTCATGTACAAATGCTCTTATCCAGAGCGACTTACAGTAAGTGCATTCAACTTAAGAAGATGGCTAGGTGAGACAACCACATGTCACAGTCAAATATACAGGAATACATACATTCCATTCCAGCTAAACAATGGATATAGAGCATTTTGCAAAATAAAAACATATATATCTTCATACACATCTAAAAGCTATTAATAAAAAATCTGAGAACAGTAAACACATATGTGAATAATTGGTGGATTTAGCATTTTGGAAATAAACTCTTCATATGCAACCCTGTGGAGGACAAAATAACTGTTAAGGTTAAAGTTTTACCAAAGCATTCCTTAATCATGCCCATTCTTCGGATCAGGCCCAGGGTGTTCAGGTAGTGGTTGTGAAGCTGCATACTCACTCTCCCTCTCTTTTTGCAGCAAAGTTGGAACAAAAACGTTGGAATGAGTTGACATTTTCCATTGGATGTAGAACTTGGGCCCACGTTTTATAGTTGTTGTTCTCTCTCATTATTCGATTAACCTTGAAGCCTTTACAGAACAGAAAAGAACCAAATAAAAATATATTTGTGCTGAAATCAGCACATTTATTTTTTACTTAATTTTTTCTACATTGTAGAATAATAGTGCAGACATCAAAACTATGAAATAACACATATGGAATCATGTAGTAACCAAAAAAGTGTTAACCAAATCAATATACACAACCGTTCAAAAGTTTGGGGTCACTTAGAAATGTCCTTGTTTTCGAAAGAAAAGCACATTTTTTGTCCATTAAAATAACATCAAATTGATCAGAAATACAGTGTAGACATTGTTAATGTTGTAAATGGCTATTGTAGCTGGAAACAATGATTTTTAATGGAATATCTTCATAGGCGTACAGAGGCACATTATCAGCAACCATCAGTCCAAAAGCACGTTGTGTTTGCTAATCCAAGTTTATCATTTTAAAAGGCTAATTGATCGTTAGAAAACCCTTTTGCAATTATGTTAGCACAGCTGAAAACTGTT